CTTTTTGGAAAGATGGCCACAGCAACCAAAACCCCCCCCGGGGCAGACCCCAAGCAACTGGAGCGGACGGCCACAGTCAGGGAGATTGGCTCGCAGGCGGTGTGGTCCCTGTCATCCTGCAAGCCAGGTGAGTGCTGACAGAGCACTGTGCTCACAGGTACCAGCTCTGCCTCTCCTGGTTCATTTTACACAGACATGTTTATTCTTAATTCATGTAGGTTCTACTTTTTTGCACTTTTCCAGATCGTTTTTACCGTTAAACCCACTTTCAAGTAAGCATTTAACACTCGTTTCAGTGGTTTTCCTGTTACTATATCTCATGTCTAATGACTGATGTATTTATGGTATTTTTTAACCAGTAATGTAGGACATGCTGGAAAATTACACATATGCATGCATTGTTAGCTCACTTTTGGCTCCTGGGAGGTACAGTCTCAAAAGAGAAAGCCTTGCTATCTGTTGAATTTAATGGAGTTACCCTCCCTACATTTGTGAGTTAAATACTTGCATTCCCCGTTACTGTCTTGGAGCACATAATTAAGCGCATGTTACATTTTTAAATCTGAGCTTGACAATAAATGCTTCTCAGTCGGATATGTTGATAGAATGAAACAAACATCAGGCTGGGCACATGCTTATGCAAGCTATCTGGAGGTTACTTGCCCAGAGGCCTTGTGCTCACAGGGGATCAGGGTGCTGTCCAGGTGGTGTGAGGTACTGGATGTCCAGTTCTTCCTCAGGTTTCGGGGTTGACCAACTGCGTGATGACAACCTGGAAACCTACTGGCAGTCAGATGGGTCTCAGCCTCACCTGGTCAACATTCAGTTCAGGTACAGTGAATTGAATGGCAGCACAGTAGAGCTCTGCTTTCAAATTCTGGATCATTATTGCCAAATTGTTTATGATCTCATTGTTTTTTAAGTTATTTTCCACAGTTTTCAATCCCCAGTTGACCGGACTTTTGCTTTCCACTATTGCTGCTTAAATTGATTTTCTTAGACTTAAATGCTTTTGCAGGAGAGCTCAGCTGTGGGACACTGCATATCATTATTTGCAGTAAAACATCTCTAAGTAAGCCCTTCTCTTTGAAGGCAATGCTTAGCCACATGCTAGGGATATCAGATTTCTTATTCCTCATGTTGAAGGTCCTCTACTTATGTACTGAATCAAATTGACAATCACATTGTTGTTACTATATTGGGAAAAGTTTTACATAATCCCAGGGAGTTAGAGGTATTTGTTCCATGCAGGAATATTCCTATCTTTTAGTTGCATTTTTCTTTTTTTTTCATTTGCAGAAGGAAAACAACAGTCAAGATGCTTTGCATTTATGCAGACTATAAATCAGACGAGAGCTACACGCCTAGCAAGATATCTGTCCGTGTGGGGAATAACTTCCACAATCTTCAGGAGATAAGGGTATGAATAAAATACTAGGATGTATTTTAATAACAGTAAAAAAAAATATCTAATTTTTAAAGCTTGCCAATAGTATAGTCTATATTGCTGCAAATGGCTCACACACACCTAATAAAACACACTTTCGGAGACATACCGATCTCGTGATTTTAAAGTGTTCTTTCTGGCAGGACAGCAATGACTTTTCCTTCTTTCCAGTAGGTGTCATCATTGCTGCAGATCACTCTTCCATGTGGCATACTGCTGGCTGTTCAGTCCTGAGGGGTGCTATCTATCACCACATTCTCTTTTTCCCAAAAAATAATGGAAATACATTTCCAGTCACAGTATTTTGGAAAATCCATCTTTGTCACTAATGATTTGGTGCTTTACACGAGTTATTTTATAAACTTAACCAGATGTTCCTTCAAAAGCTATTGAAACAGAGATTAATCTGCAGCTTGAGTAATGCTTGTTGAAAACAATCTCATCCATCACTTCATCCTATCTTACAATTTTTAAAAGGATGAACAAAACATGTTGGAAATGTTTAGTTTGTCGCTTCAATACTGGAAGAAAGAATGGTGTTAAAACTTAACTGTACTCCAGTGTTGCACTAGTGTTTTACTAAACAAGATGTTGCAGTGTGGGAAGTGATTGTTGCTTGTTGGGTGCTGAATTGCTAGTTGTTTTAAGTACAGATTGTTATAAAAAAATGCCATTGCCAGCTTTGTTTGATCATTTACCCACCCAATTTGTTCAAACAAGTCTTGTTTTAAAATGCTATTCCCCTTGGTTTCTACTTGTGCCCTCTGGTTTGTGTTTAATTTATAACAATAATAATCAACTTTATTTTATATAGCGCCTTTAAAGGTGGCTTCTCAAAGTGCTTTACAGAATGACAACAACAATAAATAAAAAGAATACACAAGATAAAACACAAACACAATATACAGAAGAGACCATGGATGGTGGTACTAAGAAAAGCAGAAGCAGAGGGGTAAAGAATGAAACCAGCTACCATAAGTAAAGGCTCTTCTAAAGAAGAAGGTTTTGAGTCTGGATTGGAAGGAGTTTAGAGAAGGTGACTCTCTGATATCCTTGGGAGAGAGTTACAGAGCTTTGGGGCATAACAGGGGAAGGCCCTGTCACCCATACAATGTAGACAGGCTTGGGGACAGTAAGGAGACCAGAATTAGAAGAGGTGCGAGGTGAGGAGTAGGGTGATAATAGTTCAGTCAGGTACTGAGCCAAGCCATGCACAGCCTTATAGGTGAGCATGAGGATTTTAAAGTCCACACGGAATTTGACAGGAAGCCAGTGCAAGGACTCCAGGATAGGAGTAATGTGATCACTTTCTGAGGTGAAAATAAAATGTTTTGACAGTATGCTGCACATGTGGGTTGAATGTTAAGCCAGGATCGAATATCACCCTATCACCCCATCACCCCCAATTCTGATTGATCTGAAGAAATCCAAAGGGCAGATTTATATATTGTCAGTATTATACTGACAATATATTGTCAGTGCCTTTGAGGATTGATTACATTGAAACAATAGGCAAGAAATGGACAAAAGGTGGGAAACACCCTGGGCGGGACGCCAGTCTGTCGCAGGGCACAGACAGGAAACTGGAGCATCCACGCGAACGTTGCATCAAAATCTGGAGCAGGTCACTGGGGAGTGACACCTTTGAGAGTTCCTGTTCATGCAGAAAAGTGCTCTTCACAGTTGTCTCAAACTTGGACAGACATTTCTTTTTAGCAAAAGACTGAAAACCGGAATAGCTGGTTAATAAATTGCACTGGAAAAGATATCTTTCAAAACGTAATCACAGCCATCTGTTACCTACAAATAAAAGCCGTTCGCTTTCCATTCACTTCAACAAAGAAACAATGAATTTCTTCCCTTCTTGGCCCACTAACTCTCTTTTTCTTTTTTTGAAAACATAATTACATGGCACTTATTACTGTGTTCAAGAACATCCCTTTTGGAATGTACAAAAGAAACACCAGACGCAGTTCTGGGCAGAATAATGGCGGCGATTCAAATACCGAGGTTGCTCCAAAACTTGCACGAGGAGTTTTCAATGAAGCGTACGTACAGGTCCCACCGTGTTTTCTCTCCGGTATTCACGCAAAGACACACCCCTGGGCGACTAGATCTGTGACATCGTCAGACAGGCGCTCTGTGATTGGACAGCGGTTCAGACCCACGGGGAGCGTGGCGGAGCATTACAGTAACCTCACCACAGGCGTCTGTTCCATATGTGGTCCATGCAGCACCAGTGGAGTTCTGGCCAAGCCTCTTAACGGATCTCCCACACAGACTGCCCAAATGGGTTTGGCGAGCCTGGCTTGGCTTGGCCTGCAGGCCGTAAGCTTGCCACCCCTGCTGTAGATAAGCAGTCAGTCCCATCCTCCTCCACAACTGCTCAAGACAGTCCTGCTGCCTTTATAGAGCACAATTCCTGTTCTTACCAGAGAGAAAAAAAGTCTAGTTCCTATGTTCAAACTTCACAAGGTCCTTTCCCCTTCTAAATAACTGCTCACTTAAGATGATTGCCCTGTTTGATGCTGCAAAGTTGATTAACCTACGTTTAATTAACTGTTTAATACCGTACTTAATTCAATATCTACTGAGACACTAAATAGACTTCTGCAGCTTGTGAGCTAAAACGGCCCTGCTGTATCATATAGCTTCTGTCCTGTTTGAATTGCTTTGGCTCCCTATGAAATTTAGAGTAAGTTAAGGTTCTCCTGATTCCATGTAAGGCACTGAATGGACTTGATCTAGATTGTCTTAATGATTTATCACATTAATATAGTCTATTTTGTAATCTGAAATCTGCTGATTAAGATAGAGGCGGATCTTATTATACCTCAGACAAGGCTCCATAATAGTTTTCAATAGTGCCTTTTCTTGTACCGTTCCACAGTTGTGGAAGTCATTGCTCAGATCCATTAGATATTCTTTTACTATGGATTTTTTACTTTACATTTTCATGCATAATTTTCTTTTGCTCTTGATTTTCTATTTTACTATTATTTTTTTCTATCTGTTTTTATGCATGCACTGTTATACTGTGCTTTAGGTCTTTTAAGAAAATACCTTTAAATAAAATGTATTGCCTGTTATAGACATTTTATGCATAAAATGCATTGTTTAAAAATGTTCCAGAAAGTGATTAAGCTATTAACGGCACATCTGTTGAATGAGATCAACTTCCTGGAAGTATACAACAACACAATCATTAAAATCAACGCAGCTGCTTAGTGTAGAATTGCTTCAAAATGATTGTATGATTTGTATCGTGAGACTTTCCTGATTATTTTTTATACATTACCATTTAGCTTCAGTTAACATCTGTTTTCCCCTATATCAGTCTTATAATCAGGAACCAAGGTGGCCAAAAAACCTACTGTTTGAAGTAATCCTACTCTGTGGCAGTAAATCATTTTATTGTGCTGCAGTTAGAAACAATTGTATGTTGGGTTGCGGTTTTTCTTTGTAAAAATGATAAACCCTGGACAGAGAGGGGTGTCAGGCCTGCTCAGAAAGCCACTGTTGTGTCAAGTGTCGGAGTGTAGCCAGCCCGAACTGGGCAGGTTATGGTTCAGTTCAGTTTATATCATATAAAGTCATATGCACAAGTGCGACGAAATGTTTATTTGCATGTATTTGCTCCAATACAAAGACATTAAGGAAACACCAAAAACAAACACAGAACAGCGGCAACAACAAGTTAAATAACATACATCTTAGAAAAAAAAAACATCAGTGTGAGCCAGTGGTAGGGGTAGAGTTCAGTAATCCGACAGCTTGTGGGAAGAGTTCACCAGTGTTTCTTTTCAAAATGGCGCTATAGGAAGCTGTGCCCAGCCAACATTACAATTTCCTCTTTTGCTTGTAAAAACTCCAGTGGTCCTATTATCCCTGGATCACCGTGCACGCTTGTACCACACTCTTGGCAGGAGTTTTTTTGTGAACTAAATTTGTTGCCTTCATCCTTTCCTATTCTTTTACTCTACAGATAATCGATCCCTTATTTTCAGAGATTTCAATGATTACAAGCTGCTTGAGGAATAAAGAACTGGGCCCTGTGGTGGACTGCCAGTTACACAAATACCAATCGAGTCATAATAGTAGACAGATTGTTATTCTAAAAGGCATGCATGTCAGTAAATCTTTTATAAAATAAAAGTCTTTAAGGTAAAAAAAAATAAACCTAATCTTTACAGTGTAATATACAAAGAAATATTGGTTAGATTCCCTTGTACCTAAATTTGACTCTTATATTGCTACAGATTTTAGCAGGTATACCAGTGTACATGTGCACAGTCACATTATCCAGGAAGGAATTATTTGTTTTAGAGCAGATACAGTATACACAATTTATCTTTTTGCTTTTTAATCCCTATGCTAAAATGTTACTTTATTACTAGCTTGTGTAGATGACTTTACTTCAGAAGGGAAAGGAAGCTCCTTGTGTAAAAAATTCAGCTAAAACATCACGAAAGGAGGCTAAGCTAATCCTTTCAATTTAAAGAGCATGAATATAACATTTAAAGAACAGGCAGGACCAAGACTAGGCTGGTAATTGAGGAATTTGGCTTTTTAATGAAACAGCTGGACAAAAATCTAGTTTCACTTAGCTACTAAATTACGTGCAAGATGGGGCCTCTTTTCCTTCTTATGTTCTCTTGAATGTGTAATGCTTTGAGTGCTGTTTTAATTGGATAGTAATTTTAACAACAGCTTTTCAGAAGGGTTTAGCATTACCTACCACATAGCCGCACTTTTAGAAAGTGATTGAATATTATCCATTTGCTGCATTCTCAGAGCTTACAACTGTAAGGACAAGTGCCAGTTCTTTCACTTTTCTGAAACTGAACTAGACATTACTTAAGCGTATGTGGTCTTTAAAATGTTACGAGGAGCTGGCAAGCATCGTGAAAGATTTAAAAATTAAAATTAACATCTTATGCAGTTCTGATGAGTACAGTAGAAAGGTAGTTGCTTTCAGTTTGGCGAACAGCCACTGACTTGCCTACAACCCATTTATTTGTGTGCGTTGCTAGTGTGTGTTATTCAGCAACCTGTTTGTTTTAATTTGCTGGAACACTTGTTTACACACACGGACACCTAATTTATTTTCTCTAGGTTTGAGTGGTTTAAAAATGCGATCCCGTTTCTCGCGCACTATGCAATTCGCTCTTACTGTAAAAAGTGTGGTGTGCAGACATAGAAGGGAGTCTGAAGAGCAGCTGAACAGCTCAAGCCCTCTGTACTTATCAAGACAGTCTCTTAGGGATGTATGAAGATTGAGCCTTTGGCGCCTCGGAAGATCTTACAGAAGTGAACTGTGAAACATTAAGTAGTCAACAACGGACAGTGGTTATTTAAAAATACTGAGATTCACACTCGAATATAAAAAAAAAAACTAAGTCTTGCTGAACATGGAATTGTGTATTGGAGACTTCGGCATCTTTTTTTCTTGATTATAATTATGTATCCGAATATAAACTTGGTTGATATAGACATAGTGAAGACACATTGGATCCTAGCTCTGGCACAACATGCAGCAGAATATTTTCTGGTTACTTTCATCCTGTGGGATAGAATGTGGCTTGTAATTGCTCTTATGTTATACTGTACTATACTATAAGAAAGTATGAATTAAATTAAAAAATAGCACATTTTATTCCTTTACTGGGGAGTAAAATCAATTTAAACAATTTGTTTTTTACATAGTTCAAGCTCTCTGTACTTTGTCTGTTTACTGTACAAATTCATTCATGAAAATACTCGTATTTTTTAAATTATTGTGTATCAAAGCAAAGCCTGACTAAGAATAATGTAGACTAGTAATGGAAAGACAAGTTGATCTGAGGGGAAGAAAGGACGGTTTATTTCACCTTAAGTGAAAACGACAGTGTGGGTAATACAGGATTTAGTGGTTTTACAGTTCAGTGCATGTGTTTGAAAGCTGTTCTTTCTGCAACGTGGGTGGCAGGTTACACTACCATCTTGTGTATTGTAGTTGGCTCTTCACACTTGCCAGAGTCATCATTCAGCTGCTTGGAAAATGTTAATATTGTTTTATAATGAAAGCCGAGATCCGTGTTGAATTCCCAAACAGGCGAAGAGGAGTTGTAATTGCAGATTTCTAAATTAGATTTACATATTTATTATTTTCATTCTTGTTGCTGTCCACTAGAAAGCTCACACTTGCTCTCTTCTGAGCCACAAGTAAAGTGTCAAGTAAACCAAAAAAAATGAAACAACAAGCAGAAATGAAAGAAACTTTCCATATTATCATTTTGTTCCCTTTTCCTTTCAGTGCCCTTTATTTGTACCACAGCCTTTGGCTTAAAAGCTTATTATTTTTTGGTAAATAAACCAGTTTCTGGTAAGAATTACACACAACTTAGTGTGAGGTCCTTTCATAAAAGGGGTCTGGAATCTTTTATCCTTTTTTGACAAAAAATGTTTTCTATTTGTGCTTTTGTAAGAAAACCTGTTTTTTTTTTCTTTCAAAGCACAAGCTGCAGTTTTCTTCGGTTTCTGGGGGTGCGTGCGAGTTTTCTTTTTTTTTTAAGCGTTGTGGTAACAGTTGTATGGGGCGAGGGGGGGCGTAAATTATTTTTTTCTTCTTCTTTTCTTCTGACAAGTGGTTCCAGGTTTTCCTTGTGTGCCAGCCTGACAGTGTGAAGTCTGTGCCGGCGCATATCTGACACCTGCTGTGGCGCTGAATGGGGTCAGAAGCAGGGCTGTGGCAGCTGCGCTCTTGCGCCAGAGCCGCCACTCAGGCCTCGCTGAAGCGCCGGCACTGCTCTCCTGCCTGCAGGAGCGCTCGGTTCTCCCCTCGCCTGCAGGCAGCATGGTGGACCCGAGCCAGGCTGAGGTCCAGAAACTCCCCATTCATGGCATCTACCTACAGAGCTCGGGCTCTGCACTGGAACTCATTATCACATTATCTGACCTCTTAAAAATGTTCTCAGAATAATGCATAATTACCTTAATCATAGGGTAGGTAGCATTCTGTACTGTTTTTGTGAATGAGCAGTTTTTGACAGCTCTCATGTTAATAGTGTAATGGTAAGAGTGAAGTTAATTATCGAAATTATGCACTGAAAGAATCGAACGCCGCACACAGGGGGATTTTTATGGACACTTTTTCCTAGATACCTACATTCAAGAATTTCTAGCAGGACGAGCTGATTTTTTGTAAACTTTGCTTCAGCACCTCAGTGAAACAAATGTTTATCACAAATTTTTGTTTTTCTGACACTTCTTTATTTCTTTTTCTCCGCAGCAACTAGAGCTGGTGGAGCCCAGTGGGTGGATACATATTCCTCTTCTGGACATCGCGAATAACCCCATCCGCACCTTCATGATCCAGATCGCTGTGCTGGCCAACCACCAGAATGGCAGAGACACTCACATGAGGCAGATCAAAGTGTACACGCCAGTGGAGGAGAGCTCCATAGGCAAATTTCCCAGGTGCACCACGGTGGACTTCATGATGTACCGCACAATCAGATGATTGACACACATCTGGTTCGGACTGGAACGGTCTCATTGTGAAGCTTTAATGCTGAACCTAAAGCTCTTTTTAAAAGTTTGAGGTAATCGGTAAGATCTTGTGTGGCCAGCAGAGGTCACTACAATCTTTTAAAATAAGTGTCTTTTTCATGAAGTGCTGCCTTGAACATTGAGTTAAGAAGGAGTCTCATGAATTTGAGAGGGTGAATATTTGTGATTTAAAGTTTATTTTTTTAGGTCAATTCTCTTATTGAATGCTCTTCTGCTCTACAGAAAAGGGTGAATAAAGGTTTACACACTTTAACCACTTAAAAATGTCATTACTCTGAATTGTAATTAGACAGTGATTATATTAACTTAACAAATTCTGTGTTATGGGCTGAATTGCTGTATAGAGTGCTAGATATGTAAAGGCTAAAAGAAAGGACTGCCAACTGCCAGTTGAATGAAATATGCCTGTAGTTCAGCATTGGTAGTGTTTTTAGATTTATCTGCAGAGAACATATTGAACATTATTTGAATAATCAAAATCTGAGTTTAATTGGAGGTGTAAAAAACAATTGTAAACTAGGTGAGTATATAATAAAAATAATTGGCACATCTAAATAAAAAAAAAACGGTCTAAAAGTGTTAAAGTATAAAAGTGTTAACTTTCATTAATACTTATTTTTCCACAATGTCTACAGCTGGAAATTAGCCTTTGATTGTGTATGTAGTCTCAAACATGTATATGAAACACTGGCATTCATTTGTATAGGCTGGATAATGGGAATATAAAACAGTGACAGATTAATATGTATTGTTACCATAGATGGAACAAGAAAACCTGTACCCATACACAGCTTTAAATCTTAAAATTTATTGTTGTCCTTTGTAATGTTACTGTCTGGAGACAAGGTCTTAAAAAGATGCATGCTGACAGTGGCAACAAGTCATTACTCTTGTTGGAATTGTTGAGTTACTTCTTGGCTCACAGCGAAAACCCCCATTTCCACACGAGGAGAATGGGGAGGTGCAGACAGCCTCCTCCAGTCTACCCACCCATGAGCCAGTTCTCATTTGTCCTGCTCCAAGCACTGCAGTGACCTACAGGAGACTCGGCGTCGATTGGAGGATAAGTACGTTGCTGAATGACATCACCACCAACCTGCTGATGCCCGGGAAATCACAAGCATTGCTGCTCCACTGCAAACTGAAAATAAACTGATTAATACAACATGGTGATGAAGGCTGTGTGTTAGCAGCTATATCACCCTTCAGCTCACAACTGGCAGCCCACTGAAGCTAAGCAGGTGTGAGCCTGGTCAGTACCTGGATGGAGGAGACATCCTGGGAAAAACTAAGGTTGCTGCTGGAAGAGGTGTTAGTGGGGCCAGCAGGGAGAGCTCATCCTCTTGTCTGTGTGGGTCCTCATACCCCACTTACAGTATAGTGATGGGGACACTGTAAAAAGGCACCGTCCTGTGGGTGGCGCGTAAAACTGAGGTCCTGACTCTCTGTGGTTATTAACAAGTCCAGTGTGTTTCTTCAAAATAGAATGGGTGTTAAACCTTGTGTCCTGGCGAAATTCCACCCTGTCCTTTACTCATCATGTCCTTCTATCCTCCTTGCACCCCCTCCTACCCCTATGAACTGGCTTCATCACTCTGTTCTCCTCCCCACTGATAGCTGGTGTGTGGTGAGCGAACTTAACTCTTCACCTTAGCTAGTCATAGGATATAAAATTAATATTTGACATACCAATGAATATTATTCATATGGAAGCATTAATATGCCTAAATACAGAAAGTCATCAAGCATTTATGCACTTCATGAAAGTCTTATATACAACAATAATAAATGTAGCACCACAAAAATCTTTATCTCCATAGATATCTCCATATCTCTGATCAATGTAAATGTAGATCACCGTTTTCTTTTAATCTCTATTGGGGTCTTCAATATTTTATGTCCACATCCCTTTTGTTCCCAGTCTAAGCTGTTTTTTTTATACTGTACTTTTCTACAGGTATAAATCTAAATTATAAAAGTTATAAATGAATATGAAATCTAAAATTATCTGCTTTTAAAGTCTTTATGATAAAGGGGTTTGTGTTGCTTTTGTTTCCATGTTTTATGATTCTTTCACAAATTTACATCATGCTAAATAAAAATGTGTGCTATTTTCAAATGGAAAGGCTTTGTTTTCCCTGGAATCACAATGCAGTATCCTTAGAATAGAGGCAAGCTTAGAAAAGCAATTTGATTAATCTGTGCTTTATATATATAATACAGGCAGGCCTGAACTGTGAAATGTTTGAGTGGAATTTAGGTAGGACATTTCACGGTTGCACATTTTCCTGTTGAGCTGATGAAGAACATTAGCTCAAACATTTGCTTACGATTCCTTTTAAATGTGCAATGTCGTTCTTGATCAAACAAACAGCAAGCTAACTTCTGTTGTGAAGATCTGTTTTGGTTTCTTGGAGACCCAAGAAATCATCTCAGAAAAATGTTTGCATTGTTGTAGAGAGAGAATAAAGGACCTAGAGTCTTTAGTCATTTTCTCATTTTTTTTTTATCTGAGATAACTTTAAAACGTTTTATTGCTCTGGCAATAATAAATGACTTGGGTGAATTTTGGTGGAAAAGTACAGGCTCCATAAATATTTTTGTGTTGTATTTCTATTGTTTTAGAAAAAATTTAGAAAGGATTTTCTTGGGGCGTTTTCTCTGGGAAGGTTTACCCCAGGGGTACTAGGATCCTTGTGCTTGACTTGTCTTTCTCTGCCAGCAGCTGAAGTGACCTCCAGAGTATTGCTCTCGTGACACCTACACAGGCAGGATCTGAAGGTGTTGAAATGACTACAGCCTCCCCTCAGGCTCCTGTTTCTATGTAGAAAACAGATGAGTGTGGAACTGAAGTCCAGTGCTCAAGCAATGTAACACTAGATGTTTATGCACTCCATTCCACAAAGAGATGATGAACTGCAGCAATGTCTGGTACAGTATAATATCTCAGAGGGCAAGGTGATGGACAAAACAGACACTATAAATCTATTTGGGTAATGCGACTTGCATGATAAATGTGGAAAAACAATCTTCCTTATGAATAAAACAAATGCTATTTTTTTTTAAAAAGGGCTTATTAGCATTTTGTACTAAATAATCACGGAATAATTTTGTAACATGCAGCCATTCTTCGAGGTAAACTTAGAATACATAATTAATAATATAATTAATACAGAATTAAAACTAAGTTTCCAAATTATAATCCACTTTAGGAACATGGGTCATCTCAAACAAATTGCATATGAACAAGAGCTTTGGAAGGAGCTCTTTTAGTTTTGCATTCACTGGGTATTATCCGTGCTTGTTTTTGTGCTGTTTCCTGCTATTAAGCTTTAATTGTGAGAGAAGGCTAACCCAGTCTTCAAAGCATCATTCCTACAAAAATACTAAAATTGCCCACTTCTGAAATGTTTCTCCTGTACCCAAGTTGCTCTTCCAGGCAAGGATTTCACTCCAAGCAGACGGTGAACCCCACAACCTGGAGGCCACAAGTTCAAATCTAGCAAGTGACTGGAAGTCTTCTGTGGTGAACCCTCGGAGATTGATTAGAGTAGACTTATCTAGGTGAGTCTCACCTTGTCATACATACATTGAGGGGCTCTTAACCTCTTACCTTTCCTAGTGTCATGTGAAAAGAGACTATTATGGTGAGCTGTGTTGAGTGAGAGTTTTCATTTTAAAAGACACTCTAGTTATGAAAGATGGATGCTTAAGCTACTATATAAAGACTACTTTTGTTACTTTTGTTAATAGACTCTGTACCAGATCGTCTGGATGATGCTTGTGTCCCACAGCCTAAAAATCCTAGGAATTTGAAAATGCCAGTTATTAACAACTATGATCCTTTGAATGGAATACAAAATAAAGAAGTACAGGTATTAACAGTTACAAGAGAGAACAAATTAATTTTCCTAATTGACACAGGTTTCTGCAGGGTTTCAGCATTGCAGTGTGGTAGCCATTAACGTAAAGTATCATTTGTATATATAAGTAAGAATCTTCTGTTAGTAATGAAGAATTGAATTCTTCCTCCATGAGCATTACCAAAGCTATCCTTACAGATGCAGAAAAAGCTTCCGAAAGTGTTTCTGCAGAAGCTGTTCTGTGGGCGTCTGTCCTGTCCAATGCTGCCACTCAACAATTTCCAATGTCCAGTATACCAGGAAGCAGAAACTCAGCCGTGTTGATCTTATACTTAACTGATGGTCTAGAAGCTGACTTTGCAAAGCCTGGGTAAGCAGAAAACACGGTTATTGCCAGTGTGAAACTTAAAATGATTTCCATACATCACAAGGGGAATTTTGGTAGTGAATACAAATGACTGTAAAGAAAAACACTGATATGCTGAACACTGAAGGCACAGTCTGACAAAAATAAAAGCTTTATTTTTCTTTATGCACCATACTCCTAATCAACGTAATCATGTGGGACAGCCTGACCACTGTGCTGGTCCTTAAAGGGGGAACTGCAATGTTATTTTTATATTTTGAGGTTAGAAAGAATCTACATTGCTGACTGCATTTCAAACCACAATAAAAGTCAAATTTACACAGTAACTTGTAAAGCCTCCAATTTACATTACAAAATAAATCAAATTTCCAGGTCGGTCGGAGACAGTTTGTCTACAAATAATGGTTTATTTCTTGCTGAAAAGAGAAGAAAGGAAACACATATTGGCTGTGAAGCCTTCTTCGCAGTGAGAAAGACAGGGAAGTCAGTAGAGATTGTATAACATAGGAGAACAAGAGCTGAAGTGTAGAGGAGGCGAGAGGCGGGCACTCATTGGGTGTGAAGACAAGAGAGGTGTAAAGTCGAAACCTGCAAATGAATAGAGGATTAGAAGGAAACAAGTCTGTCGTTGAGAGAGGGGGGAAGCTTTCAGGATAATTTTTGTTTCAGATGTCTTTCTGCAATAGGAGTTAAGAAACCCTTCTTTGAGAACGCGGATGGAGAGATCAGTGTGACCATGGCTGTCAGAGGTGAAATGAAAAATGATGGGCTTGGAGAAATCTTTTATCCTAACATGTTCTCTGAAGCGGTCTCCGAGTCTTCTTCCTGTTTCCCCAATGTAGATGGCTGGGCATTTTCTGCAAGAGATGCCGTAAATTGAGTGTGGTGTTAGATGTGTACTTGCCGGTGATACAGCGAGCTCTGTTGCAAGGGAAAGTGCCTGGTGTGGATGATTGCTGAGGGCGCTCAAGGGAGCTGTGAACAAGAAGGTTCCACAGATTAGGTGGTCGGTGATATGAGATGATGAGGCGGTCAGAAAAGGGTACCGATGGAGGGATCATCCTGTAAAATGGAAAAGTTGTCGTGGGGGTAGAAAGTGTGTTGGGGTGGTAGGGAAGCACCAACGGAATGTGGTTGTTATGGTGGAAGCTCTTGATTGAGTTGATGATCCGAGGGCTGTTTTTGGCTCAGGTGAGGGCCCTGTCGATAACGTGGGTGGGGTATCCTCTGTTGATGAAAAAAGAGTGCATTTTGAGTGCTTGGTTCTGG